CCCCCCCCCCCCACCTGCCCTACCCCCCGCCTCTGTACTCCAGGGTCCTTCCGCAGTGTTTTCACCTTTCGGTGTTGTTGACGATCACTCCGCCGCCCTCTGAGTGATTCTTGTTGAGCGCCATAGTCTCTCCGAGAGGGGTCCCGAGACTCGCAACGCAGTGCGCTTGCGCCCCTCTTCGGCCCGCCCCTAGTGGCGTCGGTCGTATTAGAGTCGGCCAATCACAGCTCCTGCGCGGAGGCTGGGCCAACCACCTGACTCCGAGCGTCACGTGGCGATAGTTTACTCCCTTTCCCCCCTCCCCCCATTCTGCCAGCGTCACAAACAAGCAGAAGACTACAACTCCCAGGGGGCAATGCTCTCGCAATCGCGCCCTCTCCCTGAGCGGATAGGCGGGTGCATTCTGGAACTTGTAGTCTTCCAGACCCCAGGCCTGGATTGACTCCACTGTTGCATAACAAAGCTGTCTGTGCACGCCCCGTGTCGCCTCCTCCGGGGACTGGAATAAACAGCCTGGCTCTGCCCAGGGGCCTTAATCCTAAAGGGACACGAAGCTCACGCCCATGGGATGTAATTTGAATGTGCCCGGCTGAACAGTCCCCTGATAGGGTACCCTCATTCACTCAGCAGATCTTTATGCGGCCTCCAGACTTGCGGTTACTGGAGCCGTAGAGATTAGCAGATGGTCCAGTCTCTTGCAAGACTTAGTCAGCTGAGTCAGAAAAAACTGCCCCCCCCCCCTTTTAATTAGCTTAAACCCAGACCCTCCGAGGTGGAGTGTCGGGAGAGGACCTGGCCTGGTGCCCAGACCTGATCCCGGACCGGCCGGCCTCCCTGCTGCCTCTACCACAGCTGGCCTCGCGGTGGCGCCGCTCCCTCTCGAATATTCTGGGTGTGCAGCCTGGTCTTGCCTGTAGCATCCCGGCTTGAGTAAAAGGACACTCGGGATAACTGAATAGACTCGGGGACAGTGTGAGATCGGCAGCCGGATTCTACGGTTTACAGATATGGGACAGTGTGAGGTCCGCAGCCGGATTCTACGGTTTACAGATAGGGCTGACTCATTTCAGCTTGTGACCCGCTGGCTGTCTCTGCTGTAGTTATATAAACCCTCCCACCTCCTAGGTCAGTCTTTGAAGAGAGCCAGGGAAACCTCACTCTCCACCGGTATTCTGGTGCATCATTAACTTTGTTTAAAGAGAGATTTGTGGGGGCCAGCAGGTGGCATGGTGGTTAAGGGCACTGGACTCCCACATGGCGGACTGCAGTTCGCTTCCCGGACCTGATGGCTTGCTTTCTGACTTTCTCTTTCTCCCTCTCTGCCCCTCTCTGGTCAAATTAAAATATTAAATAAATAAAGATAAATAAAATAATTCTAAAAAGAGAGAGAGAGAGATTTGTGCAGCGACAGAAAGCGAGAAATCACTCCTAGCAGGAGTGGGGATGGTTTGCAATCCCTTCTCCATTCTCCTCTCAGGACCTTGGGCACCACAGGAACCAGGCGTGAATTTAAGCTGCTGGGTCCAGGATTCAAACCACTGCCTACTAAGTGGGAGTCCAGCAATGTAACCATTACACCATCTGTTGGTCCCGGTGCATCATTAATCTTTTTTTTTTTTTGGAGAGGTTTTCACTATAGGGCGCATGCGCTTGCCAGACAGACAGAGACAGAGAGACAGAAAGCAAGAAATCACCCCCCCCCAGGGGGGATGGTCACGCCACAATCCCTTCTCCTCCATTCTCCTCTCGGGACCTTGGGCACGCACACACACGCGCCCGGCGTGAGTTTTAAACCACCAGGTCCAGGACGCGAACCGCGGTCGACTACATGGGACTCCAGCGACATAGCCATTACGCTAACTGGTGGTTCCCGCATCATTAATCTTAACAATATTTATTTATTTATTTATTTATTTTTTTTTTGGTGCCACAGACCACACGCGCTCAAGGGTGAGAGACAATTTTGAGCTTGAGCAGACAGATCATTTCGACACCTGGTGGCACCTCAGGGTTCATCTGCTGGACTCAGCCTTACAGTTTCTGTACCAAGGAACAGAAAGTGCCTCACTAGAAACGGCCACAGAACAGCCTTCTGTGAGGTCCTGGGCCAGACCGGGAAGCTCCTTGCAGGACAGGCGCAGTGAAGTGCCAAGTCGGGAGGAAGCCTGTCCCATGGGGTAAACTGGTTTGGGCATGTGTATTCTCTGCTGCCCTTGAAAAGAAGTAAATGTGGGGGGCTGGCAGGTAGCATGGTGGTTAAGGGCACTGGACTCCCACATGTCCAACAGTGGTTCAAACCCCGTACCTGGTGCCTTGCTTCCTTACTTTCCCTTTCTCTCTCTCCCACTTTGTCCCTCTCTGGTCAAATTTTAAAAATAAATAAAATAATTCTTAAAGAAAAGAAAGAAAGAAGTCAAATGTGGAGACCAACAGATGGCATAATGGTTGTGCCGTTAGACACCCATATATAGTTGACTGTGGTTCACATCCCAGACCTGGCTGCTTTAAACTCACGCTGGACACATGTTCACCACCCCCCAGGGGGGTCATATCTCACTTTCCCTATCACTGTCTCTGTCTCTCTCTCTTCGGTGAGTGCACACACCCTAAGGCAAAAGCCTCTTAAAAAAAAAAAAGTCTTTAAAATAAATAGGTAAAGGGACCAGCAATTAGTGTAAAGACTATGTTGCTGGACTCCCATGTAGTTGACTGCAGTTCGAGTCCTGGACCCGGTGGCTTAAACTCACGCCGGGCACGTGTGCGTGCATGCCCAAGATCCCAAGAGGAGAATGGAGGAGAAGGGACTGCAGCGTGGCCATCTCCCCAGGGATGATTTCTCGCTTTCTATCTCTCTGTATCTGTCTTTCTGGCAAGTGCACGTGCCCCTATAGCAAAAACCTCTCAAAAAAAAAAAAGAATTAAAAAAATAGATAAATAAACAATTCTTTAAGGGATTAGCAGATGGCATAATGGTTATGTTGCTGGACTCCCATGTAGTTGATCCTGGTTCCAGTCCCGGACATAGAAGCTTAAAAATACTCACATCAGGCATGTGTGTCCAAAATCCTGCGAGGAGAATGGATGAGAAGGGATTGCAGCACAGCCAACCCCCTGGGGGTGATTTCTTGCTTTCTTTGCCCTATAGCAAAAATGTCTCTAAAAAACAAACAAAATAAACAAACCCCATAGAAACCCAAATAATTATTTTTTCAAAAGAATTATTTATTTAACTTTATTTCTTTTTTAATTTGACGAGAGAGAGAGAGAGAAGAGAGCAGGTGAGAAAGCAAGCCGCCAGGTCCGGGACTGGAACCATGGTCGGTCATGTGGGAGTGTCCAGTGCCTTAACCAACACGTCACCTGCTGGTCCCCAAAAACCCAAATAATTCTTTAAAAAGAAACATAGGCTATTGATAAAGATTTCTGGAAAGATCAACCAGAAATTGACTTAATAATCCCTTTGAGGTAGGGCCTGGGAGTTTGGGGCGGACCGATGACTCAGTGTGCATTGTACTCTTGTACTGGTTAATGTTTAAAATATTAGCAAGTTTCAAAAGGAAAGGGAAAATCCACCCAGCAATGGGTGTGCTGGAATGTCTGCTCTAAAGACCATGAAAGGGAAGGTGGGGACAACCGTCCAGGCCCACCCCAGCCCTTTGGCAGACTGGGTTGGAGGCTGAGACAGATCCGGGTTTCTTGGGACCTGAGCGGACCCAACTGTGGAGGCCCCCTTTAAGAAATCAAGCACACAATTATGAGCAAACTCTGCTGTGGCCACACAGAGGCCTCCCAGGAGGGGAATGTCCTGAAGAGGAAGTCACAATGGGGAGAGATAGCAGGCTTAACGATTGAGCTAAAACACACAACGTCTGCAAGTTTTATAAAACACATGGCCTGATAAAATGAATGATTAAGCAGCTGCGCAGTGTATTCTGGACGGGAAATCACATTTTGTATACTGTGATGGTGCTCAGCAAATGAATGTAAAATAAACAAAAAACAAAACAAAACAAAAACAACCATGTGAACACATTGTTAGGGTGGCCCCCAGGCTGTGGAGGAGGTAGGTTGTGTCCAGGGCTCACACGGAGGAGCTCTGTGGCAGCTCATTGGCAGCAAGGGGCCCTCTGGACCCCGTCTCAGTACTCAGACCGGGCCCCTGCCTTTTGCCCCACTCTGCTGTTCCTGTAAGGGTCTCTCTCACTGAGCTTTAACTGCTCAAGTTCTCCAGGCTGGAGTTCTCTGAGCAGCTAAGGGGTACAGGTAGGTCTGAGAGACTCGCCGGGCAAGGTCCGGGTGGCAGAGCCCCCGAACTGGTTCATCTCTTGACCCCCAAAAAGCGCCACGCGTTTGGTTCACTGGGACAAACAAATATCACTTGGGCTGAACGAACAGTCATTTTCTACATGTGCCGTGCCCTGGAGGTGACACCACCACACCGGCCCTCCGGCCCCCTCTTTCATCAGCAACTGTTTTTTTCTTTTTTTTTTTTTTTGGTTTTTGCCATAGGGTACATGCACTAACTGGGGACAGAGAATGGGAAAGTGAGAAATCACCTCCCGTGGGGACGGCCACACCGCCATCCCTTCTCCTCCATTCTCCTCTCAGAATTCTTGGCACACATATGCACATGTCTGGTGCTGTTTTTTGTTTATTTTTTTAGTTATTATTTTATTTAGCTTTATTTATTTTTATTTGACCAGAGAGAAACAGAGTGAGAGTGAGAGAGAGAGAGAAAGCAAGCCACCAGGTCTGGGACTTGAACTGCTGTCAGCCACATGGAAGTCCAGCACTCTTAACCCTTAACTACCATGCCACTTGCACCGCCCCCCCCCGGCCCCCTGCTGTTATCAAGCTGCCAGGTCCAGGACTCAATCTGCGGTTGGCCGTGTGGAAATCCAGTGCCTTAACCACCATGCCACTCGCTGGCCCCAATAGTTGCTTTCTTACCAAGGACACCCCAGACCGGCTTTGCAATTTCAGCTATTAACAGAGGCCCCAGCACTAAACCCTCATCTCTTGACAGCACCCTATCCCTCGTTAGTCCCCACTTCTAATCCTGCCTCAGAAACAGCAACCACTCAGAACTGATCCTTGCTTCTCATAGTATCCTTCAGAATCGTGACCAAACACGGTTTGGTGGGCACCCTGGGGTGCCTGTGCCTGCTTTTAAAAAAGCAAGTTTCTGGGACCAGCAGTTAGCGTAATGGCTATGTCGCTGGACTCCCACATAGTCGACCGCAGTTTGTGTCCTGGACCCGGTGGCTTAAACTCAACACTGGGCGCGTGTGTGTGCGTGCCCAAGATCCCGAGAGGAGAATGGAGGAGAAGGGATTGCCACGTG